TATAAATTTATTAATTACCAAAAATTTGAAAAAAAATAATATTTTTTTTGCAAAGGACCGGCCGTAACCGGTTATGGGACCGGACGGCTTAACCGGTTACCGGTAAGCTTGACCGGTTATGGAGAATTTCACCGGAACCGAGACCGGTTATGGAGGGACCGGTTATGGAACGTTTTTGTCTTGATCGGGACCGGCCGTAACCGGTTATGGCCCGGTCCGGGACCGATTTTTGGCCACCTCTACTCACAACTACTACTCTCTTTTTCATTTTAAGCTCAACACACATACCCATTTTTTATTTTGCTCACCTCTCATTATGGTGGATGTCCTCTTTGGTAGGGCTATCGGTTTTGATAATCCATAGAGGTTATATCTACATAAGCTCTCATTCCCACCTAAGATACTACAAGTAAGCATAATAAAGCAACTTTGATATATGCAAATAAGCTCACGAACTTCAATGTAACTTTGATGTTGAACAAATATTGACAATCATAGATTTATTTCAGATAAGCACATGATGTCGAAGAAATCAACGAATGATTCAAAGCTGAAATATTATGAAAGAAATGAACAGAGATCTGTAAGTACAATTTACAAATTTGTCTTTCAAAGAATAACGAAATATTTGACAATGAAGAATCAGTTAAAGTCTTATCAGAAATCAACAAATTGAATACAAACTGTTGGGTCATTGACAAGCATCTTCCTAATCGAAACGTGGCGCTAGCTGCTACGCTATAAGGAAATAAGTTGCGCCTTCTCCATTAGCAATTGCTTTTGGCATAGTGGTAAGCGCTTGGATCCTAACATGTGGTATCAGAGCCAAATCGATTAACTTCTATCGATTCAATCTTTCTGCAGTAGATTCAATTTTCTTGAACAATACTTTTTCATGAACTGCTTCCTGTTCGACTGCAGTTTGGACCCAAAATTCATCGATTCATCATATGATTAAATGTTTTAATCAAATTCATTTTAAGGAATTTGTTCTTGGATGAATACGAACCTATTTTGATAATAAAAAATTTGGTTTATTTGATGGAGTTTCTTGGAGTCAGTCGAACTTTTGAACCTTNATTTGGTTTATTTGATGGAGTTTCTTGGAGTCAGTCGAACTTTTGAACCTTGATTTTGTCAGATCTACGCGTAGGCGTTAAGCAGGAGTTCATGGTGCTCACAGCCTAAGGCAATTGGTGTTTTGTTTGTCAAATCTATACTTATCGCCCATATCTTGAATATTTGTTCATCGTCTCTCCTTGTAAATCTGAATCTGTAAGAGCTTAAAGATTTATTTACCTGTAATCACCAATCCTATATGAATATGGCGATATTCCTTCATGTTTTTCCCTTAAAAGCATCAACAACAATACTGTCAATTTCTTTGAATTGACCTGCTGTTTTTTGAAGCCATAAAGCTTAATGTTAATTCTTCTCTCCAGTTCTCAATTCCAATGGTGTTTGCTTTGGTTATTCAAGTTATCTCCAATTGGATCAAGCTCTAAAGCTGAATTCTTACTCAACTTGCGGTTCAACGAAAGATTCTTTGTCATAAGACTAGTTGCACTGTTTTGTCAAGAAATTTTTATATATCCCTTAGTTGGATGTATTTGCTACTTTTGGGGTTGAGTGGCTATTTTGTGCTTCAAAGTATGTGATGGGTTGTAGGAAGATTAAAGCTGCATTCTGTGCAATCAGTGGTGCTGCATTCACATTGAATCTGATTTGGTCTAAGAGTTGAAAATGAAGATTAAAGAACTACATCCAGCTTGAAGATTCCATCCATATCAAACACACTAAAGCTTTATTGAATAAAGCAGAGGGGAGAAGACCCGAAGGTTTCATGAGGATGCTTGCTTTATAAAACTTTGGGGGGAGATTGTTATGATCAAAATTGATCCTAATTATTCTAAAAGTTTTATCAAAGCAATCGGGGCCAAGGATGGAAGATCTTGTTAATGCTGGCAGATGCTGGGGGGGATTGTTGGGTCATTGACCAGCATCTTCCTAAATCGAAACGTGGCGATGGCTGCTACGCTATAAAGAAATATGTTGCACCTTCTCCACCATCAATTGCTTTTGGCGTAGTGGTAAGCGCTTAGATCCTAACACAAACGAGCCTATTATCATCAAAAAATGAATTTTGCATTTTAAAAACATGATAACAACAATTTGAAGAAAAGCTGAATCAGGTGTTAGAATTATGCATGAAGAGAAAATATGCAAGTATTAACGCTCGAATACACCTGATCAGAGATAGTACTAGTTTCAGACAGAAATTAAATGAAAAACATTTAAAATCACACTTCTTAGAATCATATTTTTTTTTATATTACAGAAATGGTTTGAACATTTAAGAAAAACATTTGAATATACTTAGAAGTCGTCATTCTTCTAAAAATATGAAGATAAAGTTTAGAAATATATACCTGAGATATTCCAATAAGAATAAAGTGATGATTTTGATGCTCCCCCCTTGAATTTAACTTATATTCTCACACAAACAGGTTAGTAGTGAACAATTAAAACTTTTTCTGAGACTCTCTCATGACATGT